AGCTTCGGGAAGCCAACTCACCCAGCTCACCCAGCTTGCCTCCGCGTTGAACCAGATCACCTCCATGGTGGACCCGCTCACCTCCACGATGACCCAGCTCACCTCCGTGCTGGCCATCACGTTGAGCCAGCTCCTCTCCACGATGACCCAGCTCACCTCCACGATGACCCAGCTCGCCTCCGTGCTGACCCAGCTCACCTCCACGATGACCCAGCTCACCTCAGTCGTGACCCAGCTCGCCTCCACGTTGAACCAGCTCGCCTCCACGTTGAACCAGCTCACCTCCACGATGACCCAGCTCACCTCCACGATGACCCAGCTCACCTCCACGATGACCCAGCTCACCTCCACGATGACCCAGCTCACCTCCGTGGTGACCCAGCTCACCTCCAAGTTGACCCAGCTCGCCTCCACGTTGAACCAGCTCACCACCACGATGACCCAGCTCACCTCCACGATGACCCACGTCTTGCTCCACGATCACCTTCGCGTCCGCGTCCTGGCCGCGGTGGCAGCCGCCAGCGTTGCAAACCAGGTTGACGGTCGCCACCTGGAACCCTTTCAGGCCAGTCCTGCGCCCAATCTCCACCTTGACGTATTCCTTGTTCGGCTGGCCTTCCACGGGGGACACAATGTCTTTGCCCCTCTGCACAGCCGTCGCTTGCTGCAAGGCGAAGGAGAGCTGCGCTGTATGGTGCAGCAACAGGTAGCAAACGTCCTGGGCGTCCGCGGCCTCGACACGGCACAACGAATATGCAGCGCGACGTCGAGCAGCCTCTGCACGACTCCACGCTCGATCACATGCATATCGAGAATTCCGACGATGGTGCCGAGAATCACACCCACCTTGACGTCGGCAGCCTCCGTCTCGCCAATGACGGCGGTCAAGGTCTCGTCGGTCACGCCGACGGTCATAGTCTCGTAGCCCTTCTTGACGATGGCCAGGCCGCTCTTGCCAGCAGAACATAGCTCAGGATGAAACTGGCAAAGTTCAGGTCAGCCGCACCTGCGGCCGCGGGCGAGGCCGCCGCGCCGAACCCCGACCTCGCAGACGGGCCCGATGGCGCGGCGCGGCGCGCGCCCCCGCCGCGGACGGGCCCCCCCCCCCAGCGTAGGAGAGGTCAGGGCTTCCTCCTCCTCCTCCTCCCCCTCCTCCCCCTCCCCCTCCTCCTCCTCCTCCTCGTCCTCCTCCTCCTCCTCCTCCTCCTCCTCCTCCTCCTCCTCCTCCTCCTCCTCCTCCTCCTCCTCCCACCACCACAGGAAGGGCCCTGCCCTCGAGGATCGAAGGGGTGTGCCACCTCTTCCTGGGCGGACAGCGACGGAGGGCGGCGGAGGGGAGCGAGGGCGGCTCCCCGGCGGCGGAAGCCGCGGAGGCTCGGCGGAAGGCGGCGGAGGGAAGAGCTGCCCTCCCAGGAGGTGGCCCAAGTTCAGGAGGGGAAGACCATGCGCAGACACAGTTCATCGTCGATGCCCAGGACAATAAGGGAAGGCATTGGAAGTGTGGGGGGGGAGGGCGAACATCCAGAAGATATGGGAGGATAGGGGGAATCCTGGGACTTGTGTCTATTTTTTAGTGTGTCCCAGGGCCCCTTCAACAAAAAATCCGGGGTCAGGATTTCTGGAGCCCACGTGCCGCCCTTGCCCATGGCCGCTCTGGCGTGCAGCCGAATGGGAGCACTTTTCGTGCTCAGAGGAGCGACCCTGAGATCCGACGTCACGGAGCGCATGGCAACATCGTGAAACAAGCATTCGACTGGGCATCGTTGGATCCCATCTTTTTGCGGCATGTTTTCGAGCCAGGTCAATCCGTGAGGGTCCCCAGGGCCCGAGACAATGCAAAGTCGCCCGCAGCGACACAATTTCGACACCAGGATCTCTCAGAGAGGAGGAGGGAGGTACTGAAGGGGGTCAGGAAAGGCACGCGTGCCCCTCCCCAGGCGGCAGCCCGCAGCGGGTCACGTTGGCAGTGGATGCCCACCGGGGCGCTGCTTCCCCCACGGCATCCACCAGCGCCGCAGGGCACGGCGGCGCCCTGGACTCACCGCAGCAGGCGAGGTCGCAGCAGCAGCTCTTCGCCTGGGCGGAGGCTGGAGCCCAGGCAGGGGCATATGGCCTGGTGCCGTGGCAGTCTCTCGAGGAGTTCGGGGCCTGGAAGCTCAATGCCGACGCGCCCGTGTTCGTTCCAGCACCGCCCAGCCGCGTCCCTTCCGACGGCGATAGCACAATGGCCAGCGACGGGGATTGCGGGGCCGCTTGGCATGCAACCTCCCAAGCCGTCGCACATCAGGCGACCACGCAGGCCAACGGCGGGCCCCCAGGAACGTTTTTTCGTGAGGGCGAGGTCAGGCCCTTCGGCGGCGCCGGCGCCGCCTCCCGCGACGTGCCCAGCGCCACCGGCGCGAAGGTCTAGAAGAAAAAACGCCATAGAAACTCCTGGCGCTCCGCGCGGATTCCTTGGATCTGCGCCAGGGGCGGCGCCGGAGGCGCCGCTGGGGGGGGCCCAGCGCGGATCCAACAAACCCGCGCGGAGCGCCAAAACGTTTATGCTTATGGCGTTATGTTCCTCTCTTCTGGAGGTCGGCCGCCCTTTCTGCCGAAGGCCGCCTCCCCGAGGACGCCGAGGCCGCGCTCCGCCGCTGCCGTTCCGCTCCGCTCCGCCTCCCCCGCCGAGGTCGCAGCAGCAGGTCTTCGCCGGGGCGCAGGCTGGAGCCCAGGCAGGGCCACGCGGCCCGGTGCCGGAGGCGCTCGAGGGCCAGCGCCAGGGCGAAGGCCTCGAGCAGTCTCCGCGGCTGCAGTGCCAAGCCGTCGGGCCCTTCTTCGGCGCCGGAACCGCCTCCCGCGACGTGCCCGGCGCCACCGGCGCGGAGGTCGGCCACCTCCCCCGGAGCGCCGAGGCCGCTAAGCCGCCGCAGGAGGCCGCTGCCGCCAGCGCGCCGTGGTTGCTCCGCAGCGGCCGAGCTGCTCCGCAGGTGGGCCCCCAGATCCGCGCTTCCACTCCCGGCTGCCTTGCCGGGAGTCGGACCCAGGAGCATCACAGATCGATCTGGCTCGAAAAATTGGCTCTGGGGCGTCGGTCTCGGTTTTTCGCGATGTTGCATATTTTTGTTGCAGCGTCGGGTCTCAGGGGACGTTCGGTCGCTGAAGGTAGCCGCTCTGCCGCCAGCCGCACCCGTGGTGGAGGCGCACAGAACGCCAGCGTCCGCATGCGGGATCTACGCGGCGGCAGTGGCCGCGGCCCCCGCCGTGGCCTTGGCCGTGGCTGTGGTCGCGGGAACCATCGCGGGGGTCCCGCACCACTTCATCGAGCTCATGACGGGTCATGGCCACGCCGCCGCGCTCGCGCGCTGTGGCGACGTGGAGGTGCTGCGTGCCGCTGCGCCTGGGCTCCTGGCGGCTGCGGCCCAGGCGTGCCACGGCGCGGCCACGGCCGGGGCCCCGGTGGAGCGCGGGCGGGCAGGGCCTCGCGTGGCCGAGGAGGCAGAGGCGGGCGATCCCGAGACCAGCTTGGCCGGCCACGGCCACTCGTTCCTTTAATCGGCTGGCCTCGGCGTGCGCCCTCTCCCCTCTGCCCCTGCGCCTCCCCCCCGCGCCGAGGGGCGTGTTGTGAGATACCTCGGCCGGACGGTGCCCTGCAACGCCGCGGCGTCACGTCACGCGCAGCGGCAGTTTGCGCTGCGATCATGTCCCGCGTAGTTTACCGAGGCGGTTCGCAGTTTCTGCGCAGTGGCTTTCTGCGTCCTCGACGCGTCATCTGCCACCACGCTCTCTCTCCCTCTCGCGAGCGTGACTGGATAAGAGCCAAAGGTCGGGCGGCCGCCCGCTGGCCACCTCGCACCGATCCTGGGCCTGGGCCCATGCCTGGGTCCATGGGGCGGGCCCGGGTCCGGGGTCGGTGAGGCGGTCGGCCGACGCCGCCGGAAAAGCCTGCTTCAAAAAGCATGGCGTTCCGAACTTGGGGGCCTCGAGTGACGCGTACGAGTGCGCGCTCGCGCGTGCGAGCGCGCACCCGCGCGATTGCGTCGGCGGCGCGCCCAGGGTAGACACCGCCGAGGGGGCGGGCCTTCGCAGAAGGCCCGGAGGGCTCCAGGCCTTCTCCGGCGACTGCAGAGGTGGCTGCGCCGGGGGGTTCTCTACGATGGTCTCCGTCGGCTGGGGGACACCGCGCTGCCCTCGTCGGGCCGCCTCGGGGCGCGGCGGAGAGCGCCGTCGAGGTCCTCGCCCGCCCCCGCAGGGCGTGGGCTGCAAGCCCGCACCCTTCGGAGTCGCCGGCCTCTGCGCGAAGCTTTCTGGGCCTTCTCCGAGGCCGCAGAGGGCGTCTCGGAGAAGGCCGGCGGGCTGCTCATGAGCATCGGCGCCTTCTGAGAGGACCTCCCCCCTCGGCGCGCCGCTGATACTCTGCAGCACTGTGCGCTCCTCCTTCCCTCCTCCCCTTCCTCCTCCACCCTTCCCTCCCTCCCCACCTCCTCGTCCTCCTCCCTCCTCCCCTCCTCCCGCCTCCTGCTCCTCTGGCTGGGCGGCGGCTGCGCGTGCTCCAGTACAACCCGATGCACGCTTCCAGTGGGGAGCGACTCACATTTATCGCGCAGGCCTGCAAGGCCTATGACTTCGTGTGCTTGAATGGCACCACCGCCAAGGGATACGGCAGGGAGAAGGCCTCGGAGGCTAGGTGGCGACGAGCTGGGGATCACAACTGGTGCATCGAGAGCGGGTGGTCCAGGGGCCCCTTTACGAACAAGATCACGGGCTGCAGCATCATCTTGGGGGCCAAGATCCGACGCGGCTCGATTACTCACACCTGGACGCCCCCTGCCTCACTGGCTGGCCGCGGGCTGGCACTGCGTGCGCGCTGTGCTTTGTACGACATCGGGGCTTGCTCGGTCTACTACCCACCGCCTCCTGTGAAGAGCAGCGCCGACGTCTACCGCCGCACGTGCGACGCCCTGACGAACTGGTTGCGTTCTCTGCCCTACTTGAGCACCAAGCGCGTGCTCCCCATGTGCTGCATCGACATGGATTCAGTGTTCGGCGACCAGCAGCTGGACGGAAACACCACATGGCGGGCTGCCCAGTCCGACGTCTTTGGCCCCTCGGCTCAGGACAAGCAGCGCTACGCAGCCGACAGCATCCTGCCCTTGATGGAGGAGCTCGGCCTGGTCGCGGTCAATACCTACATAGGCCATGGGCCCACCTTTTTCCGGTTGCAAGAGCGCCACGCAGATCGATGTTGTGTTCATGCCCCAGATTCAGCTTGGCGACGTTACTTCTGCGGGCCCACTCCGACGCCTTGGGCGCGACCTTCAGGTGATCAGTACGCGACAGGCTCGCGACCATGTAGCAGTACACGTGTGTATGGAGTATTCTATCGAGCGGACTACGGACGCCCATATCCACTGCACATCGGCCGAGCACGCGCATCGGGGCTTTGTGCCCCGACGCATTCACTGGAACCGCGAGGCCCTCATGCAGTCACTTCGCAGTGGACAAGGACGAGGTTAATTTCTTATGGAACTGGAAGCCTATATGTGTACACGCTCGGAGGAATGGAGAAATATCCAGCGCGACGAGCAGACTCCCAACGCGGATTGGGGCTTCTTTATGGATACTATGTTAACGATCGGCAGCAAACACTTCGCCAAGGCGCCCGAGTACCGACCAGGATCTCGCACCCTTGCGGCTACCATCCAACCTCTACTCGATCACCAGCGGGCGCTGCGGCGACAACTCTGTTATTTTGGCGACTCGGAGGACCAGGTCGACGAGCACCTCGGGCCTGCGCTCCTGGCTACACATTTGCAACTTAGATGTCACACAAACTTTCTTCGCTCTGCACGACGTCAGCATTGGCGCAGTTGGCTAGAGGGCGCGGTCGACGAGCTGAGCGACGCGCGCAGGCATGGGCGGCGAGCCGAGGTCGCTCGGTTTTCACGGCTGCTGGCGGGCGCAGGTGTCGGAACACGAGAGCGGGGCTACCGTCGAGCACCAGTTGCCCTGCCGGCGGGAGAGGAACTTGCGGAGCACTGGGCTTCGCCGGCAGGACGCGGCGGCATGGCTGCCGCCAAGGCCGACTGGTTCAAGGGGGCCGACGACTACGTCTACGACGACGCTACTGGACAGGAAGCACATCACGTCATTGCTCCGTGGATAGAGGAGGGAGTGGCATGGGCAAAGCATTGCATCCAGGAGTTCCGCAGATGGACTAGGCGAGCCCCTAAGAGACGAGCTTGCTCACCTTGGTCAGCACTGTTAGAGCTGTGGTGGATGGTCTTTCACCATTGCCGCCGCGCTCCTCGACGATTTCAAGGCGTTGGCTACGAGACCCCTCAGGTTGACCAGGGGTGCACGCGCAAGTTTCTGGTGGCCTTCATGCGTCGGCTTAGCAGATCTGGGCAGGCGCCGCTGGTCTGGCACCTCGGCCAGGGCGTTGCTCTTTCTTGGAAGCGAGTTATTCACCTCCTCGGCCCGCTCGGCAAAGGCTTCAGGCTACGGCGACCGAGCGTCCGAGATGCGCGACGAGCCTCTCTTCGCGCGCGGCTGTATTCCCCGCCGTCGGCGAGAGGCTGCTACCCTTGGCCGGCAACCCTGCGCGTGGAAGCTGCGCCGTCTCAACATTAGTCACATCGCGGACATGAAGGATATTGCCAACGCCTTCGCCTCGACGGTCTGGCAGAGCCTCGCCGACGCCAGCGAGGGCATCGTGCGGGAGGACCGCGTGGCGTTCGGCCGACAGAGATTTCGGTCTGCTGCTGCTACGTTTGGAGATATCTGTGTTCGCCCCAGCGTGGCGCATTGATTGGAGACCCCCGGGCGGCCACGGCATTCGCGCGGGACATTCGCGCGGTCTTTGCGTCGGCGCAGGAGCAGTTCGAACGGCGTGGCCTTGAGTCGGCCACTTGGTGCCAGCTCAGTTTACATCGCGACGGAGAGGATATTGTTCTTGAGCTGGCCTTTTTTCCTACGTCGGCGACGCGACCCGCAAGATTGCGACAGGGGGGCAGACGGCTCGCGAGCAGTCTCGATGGTCTCGCGCTTGCGATCTATTTCTTTCTGCCGAGCTCAGACGACGCGGCTCTGCTCTCACCCCCCCCAAGAACGTCGGTCTCTCGTCATTCGCGGGGGAAGGTCTGCACGCTCGACGTCGAGCGGTGACAGAAAGAAAGAGTGTTTCTTGCTGGCGCCCCTGCCGGCGCCACTCGCCACCCTGGGGGCCGGGCCATGGGCGGCGGGTCGTTTCGGGCTGAACTGAGTTCAAGGATGTCGGCTATTTCCTTTGGCTTCTATTCCATGGGCAAGTGCCGGTGCCCCGGGCGCGTCGCCTACGTCGAGAGGCGCGCGGTCTTTCTGGCAAGGGCGGCGGGCCCTGCCCGTTCTGCCTGCGAGGCCTTTCTGCCCGCTCGAAGCCAGGTCGACCAGCTCACGCCCGGGGTGGTTTTTCGGGGGGCGCAACGCCATGCGAGGGGCAGCCGCGTCTTCGGAGGGTGGGCACGCCCGCTCTGTCACCTCGGAGGCCGCCTTGAGGTGCTGGAAGGCCCCCCCGCTCGAGGTGGAATTCAGGGTTCGTCGTCTACACTGGCATCAGACGTGGACCCTCAACCCCTCGAGGCACCCGAGTGAGTGGCCCCCCCATCCTCGGCGATCTCAACATCGAAAAACTACGGTGCCCCAGCGCGCTCACCTCCGAGGGCCACATCGCGGCGTCTGCTTAACCCCTGGGCCATCCAGTTCGTTCGGGACCTTGAGGCCCTTCGGAGGGGTTCCCACGGACACTGAGGAGGATGCGGGGTCTTGGACGGGCGCCCTCTTGGACTTCTTCGATGACGGAGTTGCGGGACTGGTTCATTGAGCTCGATCTTTCGGTCGTCAGGGCAGCTTGGCTCTCAGTCAGTATCTCTCCACATGGCCACCCCCGCCAGGCCCCCCCTGATCCACCAGGCGCACCAGCAGGTCAAGCCGAGGGAGTTCGGTGCACGATCGAAGGCTGCACTAAGTGGCGCCTCACCAAGAGGCAATGGCTCGCCCATGTTCGCGCGGCCCACGGCTGTAAGACTTTGCTGGGGGAGGCTACTCAGGGGACCTCGTGTTTCGTTTGCTGCAGTCGGTTCCAGAGTCGCAGCTCGGCTTACAATCACGCGCTGGACTCGTTCGCTTCTGGCTTCTGCAAGCGCCAGCTCAGCGCTGCACTCGAGCTCGCTGTCCCTGAGGGCCCCCATGTCGCTTCTGCGAGGCTCGGGTTCAAACTGAAGCCGATCTTCACATTCATGCCCGCCGTCATTTCGAAGACTTGCCACTTGCACTGCTCGATGGAGCTCGAGGGGCCCAGCTGGGCGTCGAAACGCAAGACGGGCGGGGCAGACGGCGACTCGCGGTCTGCCCAGCAGGCGCGCCTACTACAGGAGCCCGGGGAGGGCGCGGCGCCCAAGCAGGAGGGCGGCAAAGGTGGCGCGCTGGCGGCCCTGCCGCCCGCACTCACGAAGCTCGCTCTCGCCGACGCGCGCGAGTTGGCCGAGGTGGCTGGCGCCTGCTTCACGTGCTACATGGTCGGGGCGGGCGTCGGCTTCGTGAAGGCGCTGCAGGAAGCGGGGCGCGCCTGCGCCGAGAGTTGCAAGGCGGGCGGTAAGGGCCACCAGCACGGGCGGCCGTGGCCCCATGTGTTCAAGGCATTCATCAAGTGGGCTTGCGCGGACGGGGCAGCGACCGCGCCGGCGCCAGTGCAGGAGTTGTTCAAGGATTACTGGCAGAAGGTGATCATGGCTCCGAATGCGCTCGAGCTGATGGCCACATATTGCCGCCACTTTCGAATCAACGCTTGCTGGTGCGACAAGAAGAAGGCCAAGGCTCCCCGTCGCTTCAAGTTGCAGATCATGCTCGGAGGCCAGCAGCAGGCGAACAAGTGGGAGAGTTGTCAGCACGCGCTGATGGAGGCCTTGCAGCTAACCCTCATGGCGGCGAGCTGCAAGGATAAAGAGCTTCAGGTGACCTACTTGCCAGGCTCGCCGCCGAGGGGCGGGCTGGAGCGCGAGGCGGCGAAGCTCGCGCAGAAGCTGGGCCTCAAGGACAAAGAGGAGGATAACGCGGACGCGTGAGCACACGGCCCACCGCGAGGGCCCGCATCGATGCAACGAATGGCTCGCGCCGAGCCGCTGAACTTCACCTCCGGGGCCATCTGCCTGATGCTCCCCTCCTCGCCCTTCATGTTCGGGCCCCCTCCTATTCTTGAGTATTAGGATGGTGCCCTGGAGGTCCGAGTTGTTTTCAGGTCCCCCCCATGCTTGGCTTTCCTGGACGCCGTGCGGTTTCGGGCGCTTTCCGGGCCCCCTCGGCAGCTGCGCCTGGCTGAGAGCATTCTGGGGGAGGGCCGCGTCGCGGGGTCCACGCGGACCTCGGACGTCTGGGCGGTCCCGCGCCGTGAGCCCTGATTGGGATTGTGCTGGGGTAGGTTCAGTCGTCGCCTGCCCTCGGCCTTGCACAGAGGGAGTGCATAGGCGAGCCTTCGTGGCGTTCCCCTGAGAGGGTCTCGCTTTGCCGGCGGAATCCCCTTGCAGGGCCCCGTAGACTGTCGGGCCCCACTAAGCGGTTCTCGAACACCTGATCAGTTTTTTGCTTGTTTCTTTTGAGGGTCTGCATTTGGTTGTCTGGAGGCGTCTGGATCCATCGGATCATTGGTGCTGTTCTGCTTTGCTATTTCTTTTTCTCCCTCCGCTACCCCATTGATCCTGAGTCACGCATCCCCTCCCAGCGAGTGGCATATTACTGATGCGTTGACACTTCCCTTTTAGCTTTATCCCCCCATGGGATGCAATTTGTCTTCGGATGTTTTTTTTGCTTTCGGCTGTTATTATGATTCGCTTCTTTCCTCCACGGTCAGCTGGCCCATCCTCCTTCGCCACGTTGCTACCTTGGTGTACTTGTTCTTTCTAAGTCCGCCTGCTGTCCCGCAGCAGCGTTATGGCCGCCATTTCTAGGTCGTCCTGCGCACCTGGATGTTAATTGTTGCGCCATGTTACGGCCAGAAAGCGCGTGGAATGCACATACCATCCGCTATGGTCCGACCCTTCATTTGTTGACCCGTCGCTCTGGGACCCACCCCTCTCGTGTAGGACATCTTACGCATTGACCTGCCATTTATGTTTATGACCCGCCACGCGCTGATCGCTGAGGCCTTGACCCCTCATGCGTCGATCCTTCCTGCCGTGACACGTGCCCTCATGCGTTGATCCCTGATGCGAGAACAACGACCCCTCATACATTGACCCCCCCTCATGATTGGGTTTGGACCCAGCACGCGTTGACCCTTACATATGTGGGCTGCGCCCTCACATGCGTAGATATAGGGGCCCGCCACCCTGAAAGGCTGTGTTATCCGACAGTGTCCTCCTCTTCCTCCTCCTCCTCCTCCTCCTCTTCCTCCTTCTCCTTCTCCTTCTCTTCCTCCCTTTCCTCTTCTCTTTCATCCTCCCTCCTCCTTCCCCTCCTCATCCCTCCCTCCTCCTCCTCCTCCTCCTCCTCCTCCTCCCCCCTCCTCTCCCTCCTTGTCCTCCTCCTTTTCCTCTGCTGCTGTTCGTATTAATGGCGTTCCGCCTGGCATTTGGTGTTTTCCTCTTAGACTTGGCGTCAATGGCTGCTGATGTCAAGAATCCTCCTGCTCATCCCCCTCCTTGATCAAGGAGAACGGCAAGTTGCTCTTACCAGCTAACCCACGAGGAACAAGATCTCCTCCCCCCCCCCTTGAGGCTCGAGGATCGGCTCGGGTGTCTCCACTCGGCCTTCGGGTCCTCGTGAATCCCGCTGGGCCAGCTTGCACCCGTATCTTCAAGTTGTGTGCTCTTCGGGCGTCCCCCACGTTGCCACTGCGGGTCCCTGCGTTCTCCTCGGGAACCTCGCTTGGCCAGCGTGGGGCCCCACATACACCCTGCGAAATGCTTAAGAAATCATGGGTTAAGAAATTCATAGTCTCAGAAATGGAATAAAACCCAACATTTCTATTAAAATCTTGGGATTTACATTGGAAAATTAAGAATACTCGAGACTCTGGCCGAAAACTTAAGTTTTCTTAAGCATCGCCTAAGGTGTACGTTTCAAGCGCTCCACCCCACGATTCAAGGCATTCAAGGCCTCGCGCGACCAGTCAGAGCAGCGGGCGGAGCGCCGGCAGGGTCCAGGCGCCGTTCCCGCACGCCACACGCTGCTCTTCGATGGTCCGTTTGGGGCCCGCGCGTCCGAGTTTTTTTGTGGGCTGCATAGATTGCCTCACTATTCGGCACCGTCTAACTGATCCCGGTATCCACTGGCCCATTTTTCAATATGTACGACCACCCTTCAGGTGATAAGGAGGTTCGGGGGGGGGGAAGGGACCAACGTCTCACTCGATCGGTCTCACTATCGATCTCACTATCGATCTCACTATCGGTCTCGCTCGATCGATCTCACTCGATCGATCTCAGAATCGATCTCACTCGATCTGTTTCATTCGATCGATCTCACAATCGATCTGACTATCGATCTCACTATCGATCTCAATATCGATCTCACAATCGATCTCACATTCGGTCTCACTATCGATCTCACTATCGATATCACAATCGATCTCACAATAAACGTGATCGTCATCATCATCATCATCAACATCATCGCCATCAACGTCATCATCATCATCATCATCATCATCATCATCATCATCATCATCATCGTCATCGTCGTCATCGTCATCATCATCATCATCATCATCATCGGGACGCCATCATCATCATCATCATCATCACCTCATCATCATCACCATCACCATCATCATCACCACCACCACCACCACCACCATCATCATCATCATCATCATCATCATCATCATCGGTTCACCATC